GCTCCTTGAAAGAAGAGGGGGCCCCCGAAGACTCAATTACTTGCTGCCGCACAAATTCTATTTGCCGCCGCGCGTAAGAACGCGGGGGCACTGGGGAAATCTCCCCAAACTCGCACCTGCACGCAAACCCTAAACCCTAAACCCTAAACCCTAAACCCTAAACCCTCAGCCAGGGCCCTGGAAGCCGGGCGGCCCGCAAGGGTCCCTCAGCCTTCTGGGCCCTGCGCGGCACGCCGTAAACCCCAAACCCTAAACCCTACACCCGAAACCCCAAACCCCAAACCCGAAACCCTAAACCCTAAACCCTAAACCCTACATCGCAGTGGACTTGAGTCGTTTGTAAAAGGTGTGGAAGTAACGCCGCGGACTGTAAGGAGACAAAAAGTCAATTAATCCAAAAAAATAAATTTCGTTGCGGCTTTCACTCATTGCCTTCAAGCCAAAACCCCCGTCCAGCGCGGGGGCCCCCAGGTACGGCGTGCTGCAGCACACAAACCCTAAACCCTAAGCCCTAAACCCTAAACACTAAACCCGGGCCCTAGACCCTTAACTCTGGGCACGAAATCCTTAACCTGAAATCTCGAGGTCCAAAGCTTGTGCGACGGACCCCCGCAAGATCCCCTGACGACCGCAGTAAACCCTAAACCCTAAACCCTAAACCCTAAATCTTAAAACCCCAAACCCTAAACCCTAAACCCCAAACGCCGAGCCTTATCTCTGCACCCGGAGCGGCAGACCCTATGACCCTGAACCCGCACCCCAACCCCCGAAACCCCAAGCCCCAAACCCTAAACCCTAAACCCTAAACCCTAAACCCTGGAGACCTCGTTTGCGTGAAAGTCCTTGAAAGAGCCACACTCTGTCCATAAGGGTAATAAACTGCTTTTCCAAACTCGCTGTCTTCTTCGCTGCTTCTTCCCCCTTTTTGAAATCGGGTATCTCTCCACTTTAGCCCGGGGGGCCCCCCTGGGGGCCCCCCGGGGGGCCCCCCCGGGGGCCCGTAGGGACACAAAAACACGCGTTGCTGCAGCTGCTGCTGCTGCTGCTGCTGCTGCTGCGGAGCTTCGTCGCCTGCTGCGGCACAGAGTCGCCTCTCGGCAGCACCAAGCAACAAACGCCCGCAGCTTGCTGCTGCTGCTGCTGTTGCTGCTGCTGCTGCTGCTGGCGCCGCTGGTGCTGCGTGAGCGGCCCTTCAAAAGAAGCTGCCCGGCAGACGGGGAACCCGTCAGCCCCCGTTGCTGCATTTGCTGCATTGCTTGCTGCTGCTGCTGCAGCATCTGCTGCCCCTGCAGCGTCTGCTGCTGCATCGGCTGCAGCATCTGCTGCAGCATCTGCTGCTGCTGCTGCTGCTGGATCTCCAACAGCACTTGCTGTCTCTGGGGACCCTTGGAACAGGCGCTTGACTTCTGCCTCCTGCATAGCAGCGCCTTGCTGCTGGTGCTGGTGCTGCTGCTGCTGCTGCTTCCTAATGTGTTTACGGGCGCCGCCCTTGAAGGTAAATTCGTCTGGGCTGCTGCTGGGCCTCACACTTTGCTGCTGCTCGCTTGGGGCCCCCAAGGGGGGCCCCTTGGGGCTTCTTCTGCTGCTGCTCTCTTGCTGCAGCTGCCCGTCGTTGCAGGGCAAAAGTTCGCAGCTTTTGAGGGGCTTCAGCTGCTGCTGCTGCTGCAGCAGCAGCAAATTCTCCGCAGACTGCCGGCCCTCGTGCGCCCCGCCCCCTCCTGCTGCCGTTGCTGCAGTAGCTGCTGCTGCTGCTGCTGCTGCTCCCGATGAAGCCGGGGAGGGAGAGTCTCCTCCTGAAACAGGAGAAGAAGCAAGGAAGGCCCCCTTGGTCCCTTTTTGGGGCCCCTCAACAGACTCGCAGCGAGCCAGCCCCTGCTGCTGCTGCTGCTGCTGCGGCTGCTGCTGCGGCTGCTGCTGCTGCTGCTGGTAGTCGGTTTGCTGCTGCTGCTGCTGCTGCTGCTGGTGGGGATGCGCCGTGGGCAGCCGCAGCGCCTGCAGCAAAGTGTTTTCTGCACTTTTCATCAAACCCTCGCTTTGGGTGGTTTCCATGGACAAGTGGGCCTTCCTAAGCAGCGCAACGCCCCTAGGGTTTAGGGTTTAGGGTTTGGCCGTGTAGGGCTTTCGCAGAGCTGGCAGGCAGCGAGGCTGGCTGCTGCGTGCCGCTTAGCGGCGTAAGGCTAGGGCTTTGAGGTTTAGGGTTTAGGGTTTAGGGTTTAGGGATTAGTCGACTCAATTCAGGCTGAAGGAAAGGTTTAAAGCTTCTGCTGTAGCCCCAGAAGTAGCGCAGCAAGCATGTTCCTGGCGCGTCTGCTAGCTAGGGTTTGGGGTTTAGGGTTTAGGGTTTAGGGTTTGGAGCTCACATTGTATAGTCCCTCAGAGGTCCCCGACTAGGAATGTCTGCGTTGGGGAGGGGACGGCTGCCCTCTTTCTGCAGGCTGCAGCAAACAGCAGCAGCAGCAGCAGCAGCAGCAGCAGCAAATGCAGGGCAAGCTCCCTCACAGATGCAGATGCAGCAGCAGCAGCAGCGTCCACGGTACTTCAGCCACTAGCAGCATCAATCGCTGCTTTGCTCCTTTGGCAGTGACCGCAGCAACAACAGCAGCAGAAGCCACAGCAGCAGCAGCAGCGACAGGAGCATGAGCAGCAGATACAGCAGCAGCGGCAGACGAAAGAGAAAAGCAGCAGCAGCAGCGAACCAGCCGCGGCAGCAGCAAAACAACAACAGCAGCATCAAAACAACCGCAGTGGCAGCCAAACAACTGCAGCAGCAAGCCCGCAGCAGCAGCAGCAGCAGCAGCAGCAAACCATTCGTGAATGCCAATGAGCAGAGAGTAGTCGAAAACCCCCAAACCCTCCAAAAACTTGCAGTCTCTTTCGTGAGCAGCTAAGAGAATGCGCGCTTCATCTTCCCGCAGATGCAGCTTCCGCCCACACTGCAGCCAGTCTGCAGCAGCAGCAGCAGCAGCAGCAGCAGCAGCGGCAGGGAAGCTGGGTCAGGGGCTCGGGCGGGAAGTAAAGGCGCAGACAGCAGCGACGGCGAACTAAAGCAGCAGCAGCAGAAGCGCAGCAGCAGCAATGTGGTGCAAGCACAGCCACAGACATTAACGCAGCCGCAGCAGCAGCAGCACCAGTGCAGCAGCAGCAAAGTGGTGCGGGCACAGCCGCAGCCAGTAAAATAGCAGCATCAGCAGTAGCAGCAGCAACAGCAGCAGCAGCAGCAGCAGTATGGCGCGAGCACACCCACAGCCAGTACAGCAGCAGCAGCAGCAGCTCTGCGGTGCGGGCAAAGCCACAAACAGTGAAGCAGCAGCAGCAGCAACAGCAGCAGCAGCAGCAACTAACCAACATCTTTCTTGACCTTGTCCCCCTCCTTTGCTGTTCTGCTAACAGTGCTGCCCTTTATGTCATATGCCTCACTTAGGCCCAAAGAAGGATCAAACGCGTTGCCTGCACAAACCCCAAACCCTAAACCCTAAACCCTAAACCCTAGCCTTAAGTTGAAAATGCCAAACCCTAGATCCTGTGGCGAGACACTGACGCTCTTCAGAGAAATACTAATAGACAAAAAATCTGCGGCCTTTGCTGCTGCTGCTGCTGCTGCTGCTGTTGCTGCTACTGCTGCTGCTCTTTCCTTGCAGCACCTGCTGTTGCTACTGTTGCTCCTTCTACTCCTACTGCTGTTATTCTTGCTGGTGCTTTTGCACTTCACCTCGCTGTCGCTGCTGCTGCTACTGCTGCTGCTGCTGCTGCTGCTGCTCCCACTGCTGCTGCTACTCCTGCTGCCGCCGCTGCTGCTCCTACTGCTGCTGCTGCTGCTGCTGCTCACCCATTGCAATGAAATAGGCAGCAGTTACCAAAGTGCGCTGCGACTCTTGTGTCTTTATGTCTGGCGAGCATGAGAGCCTGAGGGCCACACAGGAAGCAGCAAAAACAGCCAGTCAGTCAGTCAGCAGCAGCAGTAGCTGCAGCAGCAGCAGTAGCAGCAGCAGCAGCACTCGCAGCAGCAGCAGCGCAAATCGCTACTGCTGCTGCTGTTTTAGCCAGTGCTCAACCCACAACGCGACCCCAACAGCAGCCATTCTGAGACAGCAGCAGCAGCAGCAGCAGTAGCAGCGGCAGCAGCAGCAGCAGCAGTAGCGCACTCAGGTTCGCTGCGTTTGTGTTTCCGCTTCAGCATCGCCAGCAGCCCATGTTCGGGCGACTGTCCCTGCAGGTAAGTGCGGGGCCTCTGCAGCTGCTGCCGGTGCTGCTTCTGCTTCTGCTTCTGCTGCTGCTGCTGCACCCCGTTATCTGCTGCCATAACCTTAAACGACTGTTCATCTTCACACCATCCTTGGCTGCTAAAGGTGTTCCTCCAATCTCCCCAACAATGGTCCCCTGTTCTTGGACAGGAGTCGGG